ACCAGTACAATGCTATTTTGGTTACTGTAGCCTTGTGGTATAGTTTGAAATCAGATAGCATGTTGCCTCCAGCTTCACTCTTTTTTTTTTTTTTTTTTTTTTTTGAGACGGAGTCTTGCTCTGTCGCCCAGGCTGGAGTGCAGTGGCCAGATCTCGGCTCACTGCAAGCTCCGCCTCCCGGGTTCACGCCATTCTCCTGCCTCAGCCTCCCGAGTAGCTGGGACTACAGGCACCCGCCACCTCGCCCGGATGTCTTGCCTCTTTGGGCTCTTTTTCCATTCCTTGTGAATTTTAAAATAGTTTTTTCTAATTCTGTGACAAATGTCAATGGTAGTTTAATGGGAATAGCATTGCATCTATAAGTTACTTTGGGTGATACAGTCATTTTAACAATATTGACAAATGGGATCTAATTAAACTAAAGAGCTTCTGAACACAAAAGACACTATCATCAAGTGAACAACCTACTAGAATGGGAGAAAATTTTTGTAATCTGATAAAGATTTAATGTCCAGAGTCTACAAGGAACTTACACAAATATACAAGAAAAAACCAAACAACCCCATTAAGAAGTGGGCAAAGGATGTGAACAGATATTTCTCAAAAGAAGACATTCATGTGGCCAAGAAACAAATGAAAAAAAGCTCAACGTCACTGATCATTAGAGAAATGCAAATAAAAACCACAATGAGATGCCATCTCACATCAATCAGAATAGCAATTACTAAAAAGTCAAGAAACAACAGAGGTTGGGCCGGGTGCGGTGACTCACGCCTGTAATCTGAGCACCTTGGGAGGCAGAGGCAGGCGTATCACGAGGTCAGGAGATTGAGACCATCCTGGCTAACACGGTAAAATCCCGTCTCTACTAAAAATACAAAAAATTAGCCCCGTCTCTACGAAAAACACAAAAAATTAGCGGGGAAAGGTGGCGGGTGCCTATAGTCCCAGCTACTCGGGAGGCTGAGGCAGGAGAATGGCGTGAACCCGGGAGGCGGAGCTTGCAGTGAGCCGAGATCGCACCACTGCACTCCAGCCTGGGCGACAGAGTGGGATTCCATTTCAAAAAAAAAAAAAAAAAAAAAGAAAGAAACAACAGATGCTGGGGAGGTTGCAGAGAAAAAGGAAAACGTTTACACTGTTGGGGAGAGTGCAAATTAGTTCAACCACTGTCAAAGACAATGTGGCTATTCCTCAAACATCTAGAAGCAGGAATAATATTTGATCTGACAATCCCATTACTGGGTATATATCCAGAGGAATATAAATCATTCTATTATAAAGACAAATGCACATGTATGTTCATTGCAGCCTTATTCACAATAGCAAAGACGCAATCAACCTAAATGCCTATCAGTGGTAGACTAGTTAAAGAAAATGTGGTACATGTACATCATGGAATACTATGCAGCCATAAAAAGGAATGAGATTATGTCCTTTGTAGGGACATGGACGGAGCTGGAAGTTGTTATCCTCAGCAAACTAACACAGTAACAGAAAACCAAACACCACATGTTCTCACTTATAAATGGGAGCTGAACAATGAGAACACATGGACACATTGGGAAAAACACACACTGGAGCCTGTGTAGCGGGAGAGCATTAGGAAGAATAGCTAATGGATGCTGGGCTTAATACCTAAGTGATGGATTGATCTGTGCAGCAAACGACCATGGCGCACATTTACCTAGGTAACAGACCTGCACATCCTGCACGTACACCCTGAAACTTAAAAGTTGAAGAAAAAATAAATAAATTTTTTTTTCTGTGTGCTGTATCATAGGGAATAGGTTATCAAGGGTTATCTGTTAATTTTTTATATGCTTTCAATATGGCTTTTATGGATTAAAGGATACACTGACAATTGAGAAAAGAGGAAGCTTAGGTTATTAGAAGTTTACATCACTTTACAATTTCCTGGGCCTCATTTATAACACACAATAATAGCAGCAGGGGGCAGTAAGATAATGGCATTAAGTCCTCTGTGCTTCTTCAACAGTAACATTTCTGTGTCCTTGAAGCCTTTTGGTTTGAACAAACAGAAATAATAGCTAGTCACAGTGCTAGTCACAGTATGTATTCTGAAGGAAATCAGTCAGCTTATATTTCAGATAAATCTGGTATTACAATGTAAAAACAGTATATGAATAATGTTGCTGTTTGGTGATTGTCTGCAAGTTCTTCTGTGTCCTTGAAAGATAATTTTAAAAAATTACTTATAAAACTGATTTAAACTTTTTTTCTGCAAGTAAATCAATTGTGTGGTTATTTTGTCAGTGAGGGAAATGGTAGGGTAGGAAGTAAGTGATCATATATTCCCTGTGATTGTTTTATATATTCTTAGGAGTTATGCTGATAATTTTAAAACATAGACTCCAATATAGTACGTGAAACACAAACGGTGTCTGTGCATGTGTGTGTGCATGTGTGCACATGTGTGGGTGGATGTATGTGTGTGTGAGAGAGATGGAGAGAGTGTGAGAGCCTCTGGAGATTGCTGAAATGCAAGAAGGAAGGGGGACATGGTGGAAGATGGGAGTTGGGGCTGGAAAGGTAGGTGTCAGATATGAAGTGTCTTCTGGATGATGTTAGTGAAACAGCAATTAATCCTTTAGCCCAGATTGAAATGGTCAGATTTGTATTTTAAATCTGCAGAGAAAGTACATTGTGGAGAAATTGGGCCTTTGAGTCTAGAGGCAGGAAAACTAGTTAGAAGGCTACTGTCATTATCTAGGCCAGAGAGGATAAAGTCTTGAAGTAGGGAAGTATTAGGGATAGAGAAAAAAGGATAGCATTAGAAATCAATACTTGGATGATTGGAAATGGGAGGGTCAAGGGAAAGCAAGGAACCTAATTTTTTGCAGGGCAGGTAAGCCCCAAAATTGGGTCTTAGCCTCGGAAGGTTCTTGGCTTTGCTCAGGAAAGAGTTCAAGAGTGACCCAGTGGCAGAAGAAAACAGCTTTATTGAGGTGGCAGTGTTAGAGCTTCATGACTGCTACTGCCGAGCAGGGCTTGAGAGTAGCTGCCAAGGGGCAGTTCTGCAGTCATATATACACCCACTTATAATTATATGCAAACTGAGAGCAGGTTATTCAGAAATTTCGAGAAAAGGTGTGGTAACTTCTGAGCTATTGCCATGGAAAGAGAAGGCAAAGTCCAGGTATTGCCATGGCAACAATAAACTGTCATGATACTGGCAGGTGTGTCTTATGGAGAATTGCTTTTGGTGCCTCTTTCATGTTTCAGCCAATCTTCAATCTGGTCTGGAGTAAAGTCTTGCCTCCTAACCACAATCTGACACCAAGTTCCTTGCCAGGACAATGTCATCGAGTCCTGAGAAAGGAGCGCAGGTGGAGAAGCAGGTTTGGGGGATTAGGTTTTGAGCATGTTGTATTTGAGGTGTCTGTAGGATATCTTGATAATTTTTTTTTCAAAACCATGTGATTTCAAAGCTCAAGAAAGAGATAAAGGCTGTGTCTTTAACAATGGATAATAATAGAGATAGTATGTCTAATAGTTTGAAAATATGGTTTCTAGAGCCAGACTACCTGAGTTTGAGTTCTAGGCCCATTGTTCATTGGCTGTGTAAGCTTGAGCAGGTTACAACTTGTCTGTGCCTTTGTTTCCTCATCTGTGTGAGAATGAAATTAATTGATATGTGTAAGTTCTTTGATCAGTACTTAGTACATAGTAAGCACCATATGCTTGTTGTATTGCTGTTATTTTTATTTTAGCTCTTAGTTTTTGATTACTCGCTCTGGGCCAGGCCTGTGTTAAAAGATTATAGGCATTTTCTCATTAATATCCATAATACCCTGTGATGGTGACACTGTTATTATCTGAAGAAATTGAGATCTTACTCTGACCAACTTTCCCAAAGTAACCCACTGGGAAACAAGGGCTAGGGTCAAGATGCAAACCAAGGTTGGAGTGCCCATTTTTAAAATGGGATTATTTGTTTTTTCACTGTTAAGTTGTTTGAGTTCCTTATATATTCTGGATATTAGTCCCTAGTCAGATGAACAGTTTACACATATTTTCTCCCATTCAGCAGGTTATCTCTTCACCCTGTTGATTGTTTACTTTGTTGTACAGAAGCCTTTCATTTAACATAGCTCCATTTGTCTATTTTTGATTTTGTTGCTTGTGTTTTTGAGATCTTAGCCGTAAATTCTGTACCCAAGCTAATGTAGTGAAGCATTTCCCCTATGTTTTATGCCAGTAGTTTTATAGTTTGGGGTCTTATGTTTGAATCTTTAATATATCTTGAGTTGATTTTTGTATATGTTGAGAGATAGGGGTATGTTCTCATTCTTCTGCATATGGATATCCAGTTCTCCCAGCACCATTTATTGAAAAGGGTGTCTTTTCCCCAATATATGTTCTTGGCACCTTTGTCAAAAATCAATTGGCCATAGAAACATGGATTTACTTCCGGGTTTCCTATCATGTTTTGTTGGTCTATGTGTCTGTTTTTGTACCAATACCATGCTCTTGCTTTTGGTTACTATAACCTTGTAGTATATTTTAAAGTCAGGTAGTGTGATGCCTCCAGCTTTGTTCCTTTCGCTCAGGATTGTTTTGGCTATTTGGGCCTTTTTTTAAATTCACCCACATTTTATGATTGTTTCTTCTATTTATGTGAAAAATGACACTGGTATTTTGATAGGAATTTCATTGAATCTATAGACTGCTTTGGATAGTATATCTAATAGCTTTCATGTATGGTGAAGGAACTGAAAACTTGGAACCTCAAAGCTAGCTCTGTATTTTAAGAGAGGTTTCTCCTTTCCCTACGGTGGTGGTCAGAGGAATTAATACATCATATCTTCTTCTGTGCCCCAGCTTAGTGCTTCCTCAAGTCCTTTAGTCTGGGTTCACTTTCTTTACCTGGAGTCTCCTGGGATTTATTCTCTATGTCTCGATTAGTTTGCTAGTGATACTGTAACAAAGTGCCACAGACTAGATGGCTTAAACAACAGAAATTAATTTTCTTACAGTGGAGGCTGGAAGTCTGGGATCAAGGTATTAGCAGAATTGGTTTCTTCTGAGACTCATGAGGGATAAATGTGTTTCAGGCCTCTTCCCTTGGCTTGTAGGTGACTATCTTCTCCTTGTGTCTTCCATATGTTTCTGTCTGTGACATGTTTCTTCCCCCTATAAGGACACTAGTCATGTTGGATTAGACAACACTCTAAAGACCTCATTTTCACTTAATTACCTCTGTAAAGATCCTGTCTTCAAATAAGGTCACATTTTAAGCTACTAGAGTTTAAGGCTGGGTGCAGTGACTAATGCTTGCTATCCCAGAGTTTGGGAGGACAAGATGGGAGGATTGCTTGAGGCCAGGAGTTCAAGGCCTGCCTGAACAACACAGAGAGACCTCATCTCTACAAATACTACTATTACTACTACTAATGATAATGATAGTAAGGTACTAGGGTTTAAGAACTTCATCTTATGAATTTTGAAAGGACACAGTTCAGTCCATAACAAAATAAGTACCTTTAGGATGTTTATTTTAATTGATAAAGACTTTGACCTTGATGAACCCAGTATACAAATGCTTGCACTACAAGTAAAGAAACATATTCTATTCCATAATTTTGTGGTAGCAAACAAAGGAAATACATTTTTGTTCTACATCTTCCCAGTTTGGTCTTCCTTTTCCAATTCATAAGATACTAAATAAAGAGGTTTTCTTCCTTGACTTTATAAGGAAGACAGTTTTGAACTCAGTTTTAAAATTAAAATCCATATATGTTTCTGTTTACTCAGCTAACTCTGTCTCATGATCAATATCCTTTAGGAAATGAAAAAACCATGATTATCATCACTAACATCCTTGAGTATTAAGTGCAGTCACTCTCCTAGATTCTGTGGGGAGAAGGCTAGTTACAAAGATAGACTTTCCCTCAAGATAGTCAGATTTTCATGGTATTATCCTTAACCTTTTTGACACCATGGAGGCTTTGGAAATCTGATGAAGCCTATCAATTTTCTTCCAGAAGATATTTATATAAGATTATAAGAAAAATTATGTACACAGCTTATTTTATTGCATTGGATCAAAATGCTGTTTATAAAGAATTACACTTTTTCTGTCAATTTTAGCATGGAAAAGTAATTTCAGGCAACATGCTTAAACATTGGGGAAAGAAAAAATATCCATAACGTGTAAATAAAGTTAAAAATAAACTTTGGTTTTGCTAAAAAAATAAATTTCAATGAGAAAGCATCTCTTCCTTATCATTTTTTTTTTTTTTTTTTTTTTTTTTTTGAGATGGAGTTTCACTCTTGTTGCCCAGGCTGGAGTGCAATGGCGTGATCTCGGCTCACTGCAAACTCTGTCTCCCGGGTTCAAGTGATTCTCCTGCCTTAGCATCCCAAGTAGCTGGGATTAGAGGTGTGCACCACCATGCCCAGCTAATTTTTGTACTTTTAGTAGATATGGGGCTTCACCATGTTGGCCAGGCTGGTCCTGAACTCCTGACCTCAAGTGATCCGTCTGCCTCGGCCCCCTGAAGTGATGGGATTACAGCTATGAGCCACCACACCCGGCCTCTTCCTTATTTTGAATGAGAATCTGAAATTGGAGAATGGTTTTTGACGTGGCAGTATGTGCACTTTCCTGCAGACTTTCTGTTTTGATGGTAACACATTCTAAAAAGCTAGGCTCACAACAGCATGTTGTAGCAAATAGAATCAGTTCAAGCTCACAGATGACACAATGGGCTTGTGACAAGGGAACAACAAAATATTTCAAGACTATCTGAATTAGATTTGTGTCCTTTAATTTCCATTGGCTTCACATCACTGAGTTTCATTTTCAGCAAGGGGAGGTTGATGTCAACAAAGGAAGAATTAAGAGCCCATGTTTCAATTTTAGGGTTATCTGAGCAGAAGTACTTTAAAAAGAGTTATGCTGAGTTTTGGGTTGTCTGCATATTTCTGTGTCATAGATTTAAAAAAAAAAAAAATTTCATGTTCTGTTTTCATTTTCTGACAAAACATATTCAAAAGGCAATGATTCAAGGCCCTAGCATTAGTGGACACTTCGCTATAGACAAGCAGGACCATAGAAAGCAGTGAGTCAGCTCTACTGCATGAAGATACTTCCTTCTCTAAAACTGTGAAACTCCAGGATGTGCTACTCTGCACCACAGGTGTTCTGTTTGTTCAGAAAGCGTCCAGTGAGGTTTATGTGTAACAGAAACTTATCAACATTCCGAAGATGTTGATGGATTTTAAATTTCAAAAAGGGCTTGTTAAATAGGAAATCATCTTTGAAGGCATTAGCCAGCTGCATAAAGAATCTTCTAATTCTTTCATCACATGTTTCAAAATATTAATTTTAAAACGTCAGTCATCACATAATTATTTTATTTTATTTATTTTTTGAAATGGGGTCTCAATCTGTACCCAGGCTGGAGTGCAGTGGCGTGATCTTGGCTCACTGCAACCTCTGCCTCCTGAGCTCAAAGGATCTTCCCATCTCAGCCTATGCGGAGGAGCTGAGACCACAGACACGTGCCACCATACCCAGGTAACTCTTTGTATGTTTGGTGGAGATGGGATATCACCATGTTGCCTAGGCTGGTCTTGAACTCCTAACCTCAAGTGACCCTTGCGCCTTGGCCTCCCAAAGTGTTGAGATTACAGGAGTGAGCCACCATGCTTGGCTGATAATTTCATTTTAAATAAGCACTACTTTTACCTGCTTCTTCTGCTTCAAGCCACACAGTAAATTATTTCTGGGGTACATGGCTTTTACCAATTACCTTGTTTCTATTTTGACACTATGCTGCTGCCTAGTGTCAAATCAGATCAAATTTTGGCGAAGTTTTTCCTTTTCAACTCCAGCCTTCCCTTCTTAAAACAGATCTATGCTAATATATTTTTGGAAGAAAAAGTATGAAATGACACTTCAGCATTGTTGGCTTGATGCTCCTTCCATTAGCAAGAATGTTGTCATAAACAAAGCACTTGGGCTTTAGTGTTCTATCATACATAGTAGAAAGCAAAGGCAAAGGATATTTGATATTTTTTGTTAGGTTTTTTTTTTTTTTTGGCATTTTTCTAACTTAAGCCAGTCCTAAAGTAAAGATAGATGCTCATGATAATCATCACAGGACACAGGACACAGGACACATTAGATTCACTAATTCCTACCAGTGGGAAGCTGTTGTGATATATCATGATAACACTGATGAGTATACAGTGCTTGTCTACAGGAGCAGCCCTTAATAGACATGAAAATAATGTGTACAGCAAGATAATTTGGCAAAATAAAATAAAAATCTCTGCTGCGTATCTGTGTGCATTTCTGTTTGTGACTGTATGTGTGCATGCAGGTACATATCCACATGCCTGATTCACAGACCTCCCTTTGATGCCCTTCCGCAGACATCAGGCTAAGATCCCTGCTGTAAAGGAGTGGACAGCCCCTTCAACTGACCCCAAATTAAATGTGATGACAAAGAGCCATGCGAGCCCAATGAAAGGAGAAACCTCCTTTCCTGGTGGCCTTAGAAAAGGCTTCACAAGGACCCAGTAGATAACATTTGAGCTGCAACTTCAAGGTTGGGTAGAAGTTTATTAGGTCGAGAAGAGGAGAAAGGATATTCCAGGCAGAAACTAAAAAGAGAGATGTCGTAATCTGGGAAATGTCGGGGAGTGTGGATGACGCTAAGAAACTAAAAGGTTATGTGGGAATGTTTAGATATAGAGACTGCTCAGGCTTGAATTTTAACTCTGCTATTTATTTTTTTGACCCTGGACAAATTATTTAATCTCTTTTTTGCCTCTGTTTTTTCATTTTTAATATGGGAGAGCAATTGGGGTCAACATGTCCTAGGCATCTTGTGTTTGCCCAGGTAGGATTTCTTTAATCCCTCCTTGCCACACTAAATGCATGAATGCCCTATGAATATGGACACAACGACTCTCCTCTTTGTTAAGGGTGAGCAACAATAACAATAATAGTAGTAATTCTAGTAGATGAAATATAAGGAACCTCTACCTTATGCCAAGTATTCTAATTAGTGCTTTGCATGTATCCTCACATCTGTTCCTCATAATACTTGAGGTAGAAGCTGTCATTATGTCCATGATGAGGAAATGAAGACTTAGATATGCTAAGTGACATAGCCACAATTACACAGATAGCAGTGAGAGAGCTGGGGCTGAAATCAGATTTTTTCCTCTCTGCTGTGTTTTAAATTTCCTCTGGTGGCTGATTTTCAATTGTATTCTGTGAACTTCATGCTCTGCCCCACAGGTTGATGCCTCCCTTGGATGGCCTGCTCACATCTGATTCGTTTCTTTCCATGCTTCTCAGATCATCCTCTCCTGCTGGCTGCCCACACCTCAGTCTGAGTGCAGGTAACACATGCCCCCACTCGACCTAAAATTGAGGGAAACAGCTTCAGCTACAGCCCAGGGGTGTAGAACCCTGCTTGTCTGGGAGAAGGAATTTGAGGGACTAGTGAGCTATTGTCAGACCTGAGTAAAATACTTTCGGCCATTGAAAGTAATGGCCAAAACCACAGTAACTTTTGCAGACACCCAGTAGTATCCCTGATAGGTCTGTGTGGCATGAAAGTGTATTGTAACTGCCTTGGATTTCACATGTATGATCAGGAAACAAAACACAGAGAGGAAAGAAAAAGAACACCAAATAATAAAACAAACTCTTTTAAAAGAGACTCATAGCATCGGGGCATGGTTCTTTTCTGGGGTCCATACAAACATGTGCTGTTCCTTTTCATTCCTTCTGAGGAATTCTGTCAGGCTACAATCGATGGAGGAGCCTGTTCTGCCTGGGGGAAATTATTCCAGCTGGATCGAGCTTCATTTATCTGTTGTTTATATTTTTGAATTTCCTCCTTCATATCTTTTCCTGTAAAATTATCCATCTGGCTTAAGGTTATAGAAAGGGAGTGTCGATTTCTGCCATTTTTATTTATTTAGGTCGATTCTGTGAAGTAGCATGGTAAAGAGTAAACTGGGACAGAGCAGAAAATGGGGCTTGCCCCCGACTCTATTACTCTCAGGAAGATTAGGGCTAAGGGTGCAGTTGTCCACAGCCCTGTAAATCCCCTGGAGTGCTTTCTGATTCTGATTCTGATTCTAAAACAATGTCTGAGGCTTCCTGCCACAGTGGATAGAATCCTTCCTCCTGCTTAAGATAGTTGCGTTGAAAGTCACACAGATGGACTTTCTGGGTGGCATCATCTGCTTCTGTTAGTATCCCTCACCCACATTTTGATTATACAATATATTTTGAGCTAGATTGTTGTCACTTCAAAGGCATATTTGTAGATATAAATTAGCAAAGGATTTCATTCGGTCAAGTAACAGAAACTTTGGCCTGAAACCTCTTTCCAAGATTACCTTCTTTACCATAAAAAAGTATTACTACATATTCTTGCATGTATTAACCATTAGGTCTCCCACATGAAAGCCTCTAAATGAGGAAATCAGAATAAAGGAAATATTTATATTTGAATCACTTTGAACACAAAAAAGGGTGCTATACAAATGGATACTTGCATTAGGGTTGTATTTGAAGTGATGGCTGGTCACACTGCAGTTTCATTTTAGTCCATTCCTACCTTGAGGAGGTTGCTCCTAAAACCCAGACATGTTTACAGAGAACCCGGCAGCCAGGCTGTCAAGAACTTAGGTTTCCTAAGAACAGAGCAAGTTCTCAAAAGACCTCAGGAGCTCTTAATTAGTCTTCACAACTCTCCCATGAAGTAGGACATTTTTTACCTGCCTCCAAGCAAGCGGTAAAACATCTATTTGACTTAAGGTCACAGAGAGAGAGGGGGAGTGCCAGAGAAGACCAAAACAAGAACTGAGCCTGATGCGAAGCCTAGCTCTGTTAGCTCAACAAAGTCAAGGAGATGAGCACAGGGGCACTTGGCAGTGCAGTTGGTGTTTTTCACAGTGATGATATTACAACTAAGCAGACAAGGATGCTAAATGTATGCCTTGTGCCTTTCCTTAGACTGAAGAGACTCAGAGAATGGGGTGGGATGAGGATGGGCCAGTGTAGGTGAAGAGGAAAAAGCAGAGATCAAAAGTCCTTGTGTCAGGATAAGCAGCAGGTAGAGAGAGAAACTGAAGCTGAATGTAGACGTGATGGGATGGGGAGAGTGGGATAGAAAAATCCATCAGAAATAGATCTAGAAAGATGGTAGAAGA